ATACACACACACATATTGAGAAATGAATGTGTGTATGTGTGTCTGTGTGTGTGTGTGTGTGTGTGTGTGTGTGTGTGTGCATCCTGGCTGCCTGCTGCCCCTTGTTTGCATTGCAACGGCAGCTGTTGTCAATAATAAATTTCCGTTAGAGCTGCAGCAGATTTGCAGGAGAGACAAAAAAAAAACAGTTGGCTGTTGACTGGAGCCTGGGGCAGGGAAGATGTGAGGTAAAGCTGAATCCAGTTAGATGCAAAGACACAGCTCGAGAGTGAGAGCGAGAGAGAGAGAGAGAGGGAAGGGCAGACTGGGTGAGAGAGCGAGAGAGAGAGAGGCGCAAGCAAATAGCGCATAGGAAGGAAGGAAGTGCATAAGCGCATTGCACGGCATGCCAAAGACATTGGCAGAGAAAGAGAACGAGAGGACGAGAGAGAGAGGCAGACAGGAAGAGCGGGAGAGGGGTTGCTACCGACAGCTCCACATGGGATGGGAGGGTGGGGGGGGAGGGGGACTGAGGGACGCGCGGGTAACGCTGCAGCACGGCACTAAAAAGATGACATAAAGATAGAACGGAGCGGGTGATGAAATTGAATAGGGGGCAACTCTGGCAACTCTGGCAATGCTGGCATGCAAAAACGATGCGACGTCCTTGCTGCTCTTGCTGCTGCAATTGCTCCCCCTTCTTCGTCTCTTCCTCGTCGACTTCTTGTGATTGCTGTTGCCGGCCATGGCTCTGATATAAAGTAGAAGGCGCAGGCTAAGCGGCGACAGCGTCTCGGAGACGGGCGAACGGGCTCAGCGGGCGGCACGTTGATAAATTTATTGAAATTCTATTGAAACGAAACGATTTGACTGCGCCAAGCTGTAAAAGGGATCCAAGTGGCTGGCTGAGCTTGGCAGCGGTGGGTGGGGGCAGGCTAGGAGGGTTGGCTCGGTGGTAAAGTGTAGTGAAAGAGCGGCTACTGAAGGGGCGGGCAAACAAATCGCTGATAAAGTGGAAAATAAGCGCGAGAAAAACAAGTAAAAATGTTCGAGTCGGTAGTGCCCGGCTTGGAGACACCCTATAATCGAACGTATACTCTCTGCTGCCTCTTTACGTTGCCCCACACTTTGTAAAGGAAATGCATTATTGACTAACACAAGCAGACAGCCAATTTGCAAGTAGCAAATAATGACCGATGCATAAATGCCCTGTAGGCAGCTTGAAGGCTAAGCATAACTCAAGTATATATACCCTCTTCTGGGTGTATACCCTACACAAGCTTCAATTTCTGCAGATCGCTTGCAAACTGTGAATTTAATCAAGCAGTTCGCACTTAACTTGAACTTTAAGAGAATAGGTGAACAGCAAATGTAGCATGACGTAGAATAAAAGTGTCTTGTGACAATTAAAGTTTAGCCATATTTTCGGCTAGAGAAAACGCACCCCGAACCTAGAACTCTGAACCCTGAGAGAAGGAATGCACTTAATTTTAAATTTTTCGTTGTCAAATTTATCTGTTGTGTTATTGGGCTCCTTCTTTTGTGTGGGTAGCTTTGACTTTCGGCCGGACGATGCTCAATTTAACCTCGGCAACAACAACAACAACAACAACAAAAGGGAGGCCAGTCTCCGCTTCACTGCTTCTCAGCTGCTTATTTCTCACATTTCTCGCTCTCTGTCTGCGCTTAAGCATGTAGCATACTTTTTAGCTGCAGATAAATCTAAGCAAAAGCAACGGAAAAGACCCGAAAAAAAGCACACAAGCAAGAACACGCCGCAGATTTAATGCCCTTCCTTACATGTGGCTTATAGTGAAGAAGAATAGTGAAGATGTCTCAAAAAAGTTCGTGAGTTTGGCTATATCGATTTGGCTGATCACATCTTTCAAGAATATATACTTATGTATACTACTGTTGCATTGGGAATGTCGTTTTACACGTGTTAGAGATTTTGTGACAATATCGCAATACCCCGCAATATGAGAGTATAAAAAGGCGAAATTTTAATTTGCGCTCTGTGGCCAATATTGTTCCTGTTCCTTGTCTTTTTCTAGTTCTTATTGTAGTTGTTGTTATTGTTGCTGTTGTTGCTGCTGTTGCTGCTGTTGCGCCATGCAGAAATTGCTACCCAATTACGTAATAAAATCTGACTGAAGTTGCTCTCTTATTATTTAATTTTTGTCTTCTCCACGCTGGCTTCTGCTTTCTTTTTTTTTTTTTTTTTTCGTTTTATCACTTTTTGGGGTGGGTGGATTAGTGTGGGAGGGTGGAGAGGGGGCGGCAAACGATGCCCGCTTGGCGCTTATTAAGAAATAATGCTGTAAAAACAAAACGCAACGGCGTCAAATCAACTTTGTATTTTGCTATGAGCAACATTTCAAGATAAAACACAAAATTAAATGTGGCCACAGTCTGCTCGACGGAGCCATACCCTGTTCTTGGCTGGAGAGCAACGGGAATAGAACGCATCAACAAATTTGCAACAAATTGAATAAGTGTATAAATGTTCTGCCGTGTCCAGATGTGACCATAAAGGATATAATAGGATAATAGAAAAGCATTAGTACATCAATCAATCTTCTTTATGCATATTTAATTTACAGGGTATTGCATGTAACTACCAAATGGCAAGCGAGCAAAATGAACAGTTGGAAAATTTGTGGGCTGCTGGGGAGATGGCATTATATGCGGGGCGTAAGAAGTGCCCCGGGGTGCATTGCTGACGCCAGAGCCAGAGAACTGCTCTGCTTCTCTTTATCTGTATGTTTGTACGCTTGTGTGTGTGTGTGTGTGTGTGTGTGTGCGGGCGGGTGTCTTAAGAGTTCTTTTTGGGCACAATTGGTGCCTGGACTGATCAAATTACTAACAGCAGCGCATTCCCACCTACACGTAAAAGCACACACACACATATTCATACATATACATATATATATATATACATATACATTCATATATATATATATATATATGTATATATGTATACGGTATATGCTTATGTAAATGCGTATTTGTACAGTCAAAAGCTGCTTTGGCGCGACAGCTGTAAAGCGCAAAGCCTGAGTCACAGAACTCGATGAGGGCAAGCAGGTGGGGCGCAGTGCCGGATGGCAACTGGGGGCGTTGGCGCCCACGGCCGTTGAGTGAGTGAATTTTTGTTGGCAATTTATGAATCGACGAATTAAATTATGCGTGCAGTACATTAACAGGCAACAACAACAAACGCACTGAGAGGCGGACGCGAGGCCTGCCAGATAAGAACTGAAGGGGGAACAGGCGGGAGAAGACACTGCCAAGCGGATGGTGAACGAAATGATGCGTAAAACGAGCCAAGCAACAGATAACGATGAAAGAAAAAGGAACCAAAAATGAACAAATACAAAAACAAGAACAAAAAACAACAGACACACACACATACACATACACACACACACACACACATTGATTTCCCCACAAATTCTGGGCACAAAATTTGACCAGCGCCAATAAAAAATCGGCAAATTAAATTTAATTCCCCCACAAACTTACATTAAGAAACGCTATAAAAATGAACCAGTCGGAACTAAGAAGCTTCGAATTGTTACGTTGTTCATCAATCCGGCTCAATTTGGTTCTACTCGTTGCTCTGATTCAATCGCTTATAAAAAATAACCAAATCTTCTAATTGTTCTCTACTGCAACCCGCTCCCATGCTACCAAAAATTCCCTTTCTTTCGGTAGTTCAATCGGCTTGAAAGTGAAGCACATATAATTGTTAGTTCAATTGCATCGAAATCGAGAAATACCCTGGTTCAGTACATAAAATGAACCGCATCCGTTGTCTCAACTAGTTCACAAAGTAAACAATACTGTTGCAGCCATTTGAAAACAGTTAACTTAAAGCTTTAAGCATTTTTCGCAAGCACTGTTTCGCAAATCACGCATACGCAGCATGCGCCACAGCCACAAGTTGAGGTGCTTGAGGTGCTTTGAGGAGCTTCACAACTTGAGTGCTTTAGTATTCAGTATTCAGTATTCAGTATACCGCAGGCTCATTATAAACACTCAAAACGTTTACATTTTCATTGTCTGCATTTGTCAGAAGAGAGAAAACAAAAGGAAAATAAATAAAAAATGAAAATAAATAAAATATAAGAAAAGAAACCAAACGAAAATTATATGAATTTTGTGTTTATGCAATGGCCAATTCACAGTGCAATCTCTTCCTAGTGTGTGTGTGTGTGTGTGTGTGTGTGTGTGTGGCAGGCAATAATCATAAAAACCGCCAAAACGTTTTTCCTTCCTGCCAAAAGTGGCTGCTGCTTGCCGCACAAATATTGCGGCAATAATACATTCCAAGCGCCAGCAGCCCAGCCACTCAGTGCCACAGCTCCGGAGCCTGCCTGCCTGCCCCCGCCCCTGCCCCTGCCCTTGCCCCTATTCACTCTGCCTCGCATTTGAAACTCAAACACTGAATCAGTTGCTGATTGCGGCGGCTGCTGGCAACAACTCATGAGCCGCAGCGGCAGCGGCAGCTCCTTGGCTTGAGCTTGCGATTATTTTGCCATTATTTTCCATTATTTTACTTTATTTCAATGACTGTTTACATTAGGCACACACATGCGAGCACACAGACACACCCAAGCACTGCAGCAAAAAGTGCTGCATACTTCTAAGCGCGCGCGAGCTGTTGCCAGGCTTTCTGCATATATATGTGTGTAACTGTGTGTTCGTGTGTGTGCGTGTGTGTGTGTGTGGCACTTTACTTAGCTTATTGAACTGGGCAGACAGTGAAGCAATTACAACAACAACAACAACAACAACAACAACAATCGCAGTCGTTTCTTTGATTTCGTAATATATTTGCTCGGGGCAAAGGGAAAAAACCTTTTTTGCTCCGCCTCTCTGGAGCCCATACACACACAAGCACACACATACACACTTGAGAATTGAGTACTTGGTATGCATTGTAAAGTTTTGCTTGCTTTGACTGCTCCCTAATGCCGTCTCTTACGCTCTCTCTCTCTCTCTCTCTCTCATTTCAGGCCGAGATCTGGAGCGTGTTTATTGCGATTCTGCGGAAGAGCGTTCGCAATCTTCAGGCCTGCACAGATGTGGGACTTATCGAACATGTTCTGGTGCGTCTGCAGCGCTCCGAGACTGTTGTGGCAGGTAAGTCAAATCAATACATTCTCACACACAAACACACATTCATACACATCACTAACACAAACACAGACTCTGCTAACTGAAGCGTGGCTGCTGAGAATGTCTTTTTGGTTTATTTAAAAGTACACAATACCTTGTCCCAAATATGAAAGTCTTTCTGCTCACTAGCTGGCTGATTGATTGACTGATTGACTGATTCGATGCACATTTCAAATCTTAGACTAAGGCAGCTCGTGTTTGAAAACATTTTCCATTTTTAACGTAAATATCTACTTCGCCGAGATTAAAAAGAAAAAAAAAAAAAGCTTTAAAATCCCGAAAAGCTGTTGTCAAACACTTTTTTACTCTTGTTTTGTTCTTCATATGTTCCCTTATTTTGAGCCACGCTGCTGCATTTTAGTTTTACAGCCCTATTTGAAAAATTTCTATGAAAATCTTGTGGAAAATTCCGCACGCAAGTGCAAAAAAATTGATGGTGGAAACCTGCTGTTGCAAACTTTTTTTGTTTTTCCTTTTCATCACAGCGGGTTTTAGTAAAAACTTTCAAATATCCATGTCAAAATTCTTTGGACACGTGTTTTACGCATTTTAGTTAACCGCTTACATGGATTGAAAATGCGTCTGTAAATTTTTAACGATGAAATTTAAACATAGTTTCTTCAACTTGCGCAGGACGCAATACGGATTTGAACTAAACTGGTTCAAACTCCGGTTTCCAATTTAATTTGAAACATCAGCTGAAATTTCAGCCAAATCAATTCGTTAATTTATTTTAACCCTGCCCCAAAAGCAGGAAGCTAGTTTAAATATCTACCTCAAGCATTAGGCTTAGATGCAAATAGGGTTTGAACCAAATTGGTTTAAACTCGAATGTTTACTTAAGTTGTAAGCATAAGCTGAAGGGTTAAGCAAAGAAGTTGCCCAAGAAAACAGCCTCAAAACACAAATACCTTTGTATGGCGGCTTCTAAGGCAGAAAGCTGGTTCGAACCTTGCAACGAAGAACAACATATTTGTTTTTGCTTGTGGAAAAAGAAGCATCTTTAAATTGTTAATACCAAAGTAATATTGTAATCTACGGTTAAGAATTAGACAGGCTTTGAACCGAACTGGTTCAAACTCGAATTTCATATTTAACTTAAAGCGAAAGCTGAATCTTTAAGCAAGCAACTTGTGCAAAAAAACAGACCCGAAACATAAATATTACATATTAAGTAGCTGCGCCCCAAAGGCAGGAAGCTGGTTTGAACCATGCACAGAAAAACAACATATTTTTCTGTTTGTATCAGAAGTAGCTCGATGTCGAATAAGAAGTCTGAAGGAATTTAGTAGATGAAAATAAGACTTCCTCGAGCAGATAAAAGTGACCGAGGATGAGAAGTGGCCCGGCGTGAAATGCGAATCACTTGAAATGGAGATATGTTAGGAGGGAAAAAGTGACGGAAGTGACACAGCCAAAGAAGTGGAGGTCAAATGGTGGATGACACCAAGAAAAATGAAGTTGGAGGAAAATAAATGCAAAATGTACAATTGGGCTCCAACAGAGCTGTGCTCGATGGAGCTTCGCTTTGGCAATGAATCAGCTGGACTTGGGCTAGTTCAACCACACACACACACACACACACACACAGCTTGTATGTGTGTGTGGCATGCTACTTTGTGATTCGTGCCATGTGGCATGTGTCCAAAAAATAAAGAAGTCGAATTGCCGCGTCGCATCGCGTCGACTGGCCCGCCGAATTGCTTTTCGATTAATTTCACGCTTGTCAGCGGCCGTGATACGCCCAGTGGTCCGCACCGGCAGCATTCCCGCTTCGGGCCAGCCAGCGGGCTGCTGCTGCTATGTTAGACACGCCCATACCGCCTCTCATGTATGCCAAGCATTCGTTTCGCATGTCGCCCCCTCACTCTCTCTCTCTCTCTCCCCCTCTCCCATCAGGAGTCTCCAACAACAACAAACAACGCAGCAAATTTTCTCTTCATTAGTGAACAGCCGACTGGCACTTCTCCCACTACCACGCCCATACCTACACACACACATGCCCACGCCCACATACGCATACACAGAGACAGGCCCCGCAATAGTCACCCCCGCACCCCTATGTAACTGCCAGAAGCGTGTGCGTGCCTTTGGCTTTGATTTTGATTTTATTAAGTCAATGACACATCTGCGGTCTGGCAACCCTGTCTGCCAGGCCTTGCCAGACCCCATCCCATTCCCTTCCCCTCCCGACAGACCCCAACCAGGCAGTCAGCATTTTGCACCCCTATCCACCGCTCTCTCCAGGACCTTTCACCCCCTCTCCAGTTGGCATTTAACGAACTGTAACTGCTGTCAATTTGCAGTCGCTGACTTTTGAGCCTTGGCGTTCAAGCCATAATTTCATACATGTGTGTCTCTCTGTGTGTGTGTGAGTGTGTGTGCGTGTTACCTGACAAATGTCGAAACGTGACACTTGCCAAGAAATTAGATAAGCTAAAAGTTGTGTGTGTGTTATGTGTGTGTGCGTGTGTGCGTGTGTGCGGTAGACAGATGGAAACTGTGTTCCGGCTGTCTCCTCTTCTTCCATTAACACAACAACAAAAACACTTTGGCAACTTTATGAGTTTTTTGTTTTGTTTCAACTATAGCAAAACATTTCAGTTCCATTAGCTAAAGTTATCCTGAATTTGGGCAGAAATTAACGGCGTTTTTAAGCACTTCTTTCTATTTTGGTTTTTTTTATTAAATTTAAATTTATAAATTAATTTTAATTTTGCAGCTACAAAAAGTTAAATCCAAAAATATTTAACTAACATTTTGTGTACATATTTGAAAAAGATTCTCAATTGCTTAATGATAAACTTAAGCATTGAGGGACAGGGAATCCATGCGTCATTTCCAATCCAAAGATATTGTAAAATGTCCCTGAAAGCTTTAAGTGTCTTTTACCAATTTTCCACCTTAGCGTGTACTAACATCACAAGGCGAGGTGCTAAAAAAGCTAAGGTTTGAGCTCAAGCTCAACCGATCTTTTGGGTTAGATTTTGTGTTAAGCAATCAGGAAGATCACCTTATTTAAAAGACACACAAAATATATCGTTTTCTTTAGAAAATATATTAAAACTTCTTTCTTCACTTGAACCCAAATTAATTTGAGTGATTAACGCGACTAGTGATACCCTCTAATTAAAGATAATCCGTTAGTCTCAAAATGCTTGGAATCCATCTTAAAGGCAAAACAAACATTTATAGATTTAACATAATGACCATATTATACGCTCTTATAACTACGAGATGAGCTCGAAAATGCAGGACTGAAAATTTAACAGTCGATTTCGCAGCTATCGATCATTTTAAATATATTATAGTTAAACTCAAATCTTAAAAATGATTTGAGAACTTCTTCGCAAAGTATGTGCGTTTTTTTTTATAATTTTATTAATGCGTTTTTTTTTTTTGTGTATTTAAGTTTTTTTCACATGTTAGTTTCTGCTTGTTGAAACTATCTCGAAATTTTTTCTTACTGCTGTTGATGGAGATTTTTAAGAAAAAGAGAAGCAGAAGCAGGAAATAACTGTATCGTTGGAGCTTTCGGGGCCCAAGACATAAAAACCTGACAAGTTCTCGCACTTTGGCTTTTTTATGAGCTGCAGAAGATGCCAAGATATGCAAAAGGCAGTTAAACTTTGACAGAGTGGCGGTCGCCGAGAGAGGAACAGTCAGACAGGCAGACAGATAGACAGACTGTCGGACAGACAGCTGAATGGTTGGATAGACACATGAAGAGCTGGAGGACTTCGACTCCGACTATGACTCGGGCTGATGGCATTGTCATTGCGCCTTAAGCTATTGCAACAGACGTTGGATGAAGATTCCACAAGGAGCTCACAACTCTCCCGGAGCGTGGGCCAAAAATGTGTGTAATTAAAAGCTGATGCCGGAGGCAGAGGCGTGGAAGTTACGGCCAGCGTCGACTTGAGGCCAATGGAGCAACATTGTCGTCCTGGGACTGACGCTACGGCTGGGCGCCGCGCACTTGGCTACCAGCAGAAGCCCGGCAGGGGGTGGGTGCGGGTGAGGGCTTGGATGTTACTCAATTTCTTAATTTACGCTAACCGAAACGTGTTGATGGAGGCGCAACTGGAAACTGTGCAACGGCGGCATGCTACGGAGCAGACAGCTGCCAGTGCTGCCAGAGCGGCAGCTCCTTTGGGTCTTGTGGCCCCGGCAACAGTCCAGGCATTAAAACGGCCCGTGCGTTCCATTTCAATTAGTGTGCATTACAAATGAAGTTTGGGAATAGCAGCCGAGCAGGCAGGGCGCAGCAGGCTGCGGCTTGAGGCGGGCAGGCAGGCGGACGCGCAAGCGACAAGGTGAACGTTGACAAAACGTGCCAGTCTGGCAACGCCGCACAATGCAATTTAAAAGCCAACTGGCAGCACGTGTGCTGCCACACTCAATCGATTTTTTTGGACTTTTATGCCAAATTCAATGACAGTTCGAATTCAATTTCCAGCTCGTTTCACGGCCTGACCTTGTTGGTGATGTGCCAGTGCCACGCCTACCAGCGCCCAATGCCTGATATTGCCTGGTGTTGTAGTTTAAGAGCGACCTTGCCGCTTCGCTGCATGCGCAACTTTTTTTCATCAGCTGAAAGTTCGACTAAACCGATTCGAAAGCAAGCTAAAAATTAAGCTTAAAGCTTTTCACCAGCAGCTAGTTTGCATGGAAAACTGGCCTGAAAAATAGCTAGAAAAATAGCTTATATTTTGACTTGATTAAAGCCCAAATGCGCTTTCACAGCTATTTGTGCTTAGTCAATAGATACAATGGGCTTTCAACTTAAGTAAAGCTTTCAAAAACTTTTTCACACACACACACACACTCACAAATACAGGTGGAATGCTGTTCATACTATATTAAACTCCCCCACTTACCTGCTTTTTTACTCTCCTTTGCCATTACAGATCTGCTCATCGAGATGCTGGGTGTATTGGCCAGCTATAGCATAACCGTTAAAGAGCTGAAACTTCTATTTGGCACGATGAAGGCCAACAATGGCAAATGGCCGCGTCATTCGGCCAAATTGTTGAATGTGCTGCGACAAATGCCCCATCGCAACGGGCCCGATGTGTTCTTCAGTTTTCCCGGCCGCAAGGGATCGGTAAGTCAATATCTAATGACAATAAACAACAACAATAACCAATGTTTCTTCTTCCCGATTTGCACAAGTTGCAAGTTGGCTTCAAGTGCAAGCACACACAAGCACTTTCAGCCCCAACTACAGCCAGTGACATATATGGTTGAGGTGGTCTGAAGGGGGGGCTGGGTGCTTCTTGGGCTTTTATTTTATTGCGTCGCACTTAAATCGAATTCGAAATGTGCGTTGTCCATGTGGCATATGACTGCTCTGCTGTCTCAGCTGACACAACTCAACCCCCCCAAACACACACACACACACACAGATGCCTCCCTACTTTCCTAGACAGCCCTATGGCTATCTGTCTATGACATAAGCACATAAAAAATGCCATAAAGCGAATTGGAAGTCAAATGCGACACGAAACGATACGAGATGAAATGAAATGAAACGAGAGCCTCGCCAAGCAATTGTCACAAAATGTTCAATAAACAGGACATGTTACTGCACACCTCCTCGCCCCACCCCCCTCGCAATTGGTCAGTTGCTGCGTTTTCTATATTGTTGGTTCTATTTTTTTTATACCCTGAACCCATTAAAAATGGGTATAAGGGTATATTGTATTTGTACAAAATCCAAATGTATGTAACAGGCAAAAGGAAGCATCTCCGACCCATTAAGTATATATATTCTTGATCAGCATCAATAGCCAAGTCGATCTAGCCATGTCCGTCTGTCCGTCCGTCCGTCCGTCTGTCCGTCCGTCCGTCCGTATGTATGAACGCAAGGATATCAGAACATATATTCATCACGATTTTTTTTAAAAATCGAGGTCGGTGCGAATATCGAAACTTTTTCGATGATTTTTTTTAATATCTCGGGTAAATAATGTCTGATTTTAAAATGTTATACCTTTTTGAATGCGCACGGATCCCTACCATCAATTGGCATTCAAACAAATTAATCATCGATGGTCGACAAAATGGCAAGGGGTTACATCACGTTTTTTTTTTTTTTTAAATCGAGGTCAGTGCGAAAAAAGACACTTTTTTAATATCTCGGGTAATAGCTTCGCGCAGAGATATGACGTTCCAAAACGACATAATTCCGCGCGGAGATATGACGTTCCAAAACGACATAACTCCCCGCGGAGATATGACGTTCCAAAACGACATAACTCCGCGCGGAGATATGACGTTCCAAAACGACATAACTCCCCGCGGAGATATGACGTTCCAAAACGACATAACTCCCCGCGGAGATATGACGTTCCAAAACGACATAACTCCCCGCGGAGATATGACGTTCCAAAACGACATAACTCCCCGCGGAGATATGACGTTCCAAAACGACATAACTCCCCGCGGAGATATGACGTTCCAAAACGACATAACTCCCCGCGGAGATATGACGTTCCAAAACGACATAACTCCCCGCGGAGATATGACGTTCCAAAACGACATAACTCCCCGCGGAGATATGACGTTCCAAAACGACATAACTCCCCGCTGAGATATGACGTTCCAAAACGACATAACTCCCCGCGGAGATATGACGTTCCAAAACGACATAACTCCCCGCGGAGATATGACGTTCCAAACAACATAACTCCCCGCGGAGATATGACGTTCCAAAACGACATAACTCCCCGCGGAGATATGACGTTCCAAAACGACATAACTCCCCGAGGAGATATGACGTTCCAAAACGACATAACTCCCCGCGGAGATATGACGTCCCAAAACGACATAACTCCCCGCGGAGATATGACGTTCCAAAACGACATAACTCCCCGCGGAGATATGACGTTCCAAAACGACATAACTCTCCGCGGAGATATGACGTTCCAAAACGACATAACTCCCCGAGGAGATATGACGTTCCAAAACGACATAACTCCCCGCGGAGATATGACGTTCCAAAACGACATAACTCCCCGCGGAGATATGACGTTCCAAAACGATAAACTCCACGCGGAGATATGACGTTCCAAAACGACATAACTCCCCGCGGAGATATGACGTTCCCAAACGACATAACTGCGCGAAAAATAGTGTCCGATTTTGGAATTTTATACAATTTTTGACTCGTAAGGATCTGTTCTATCGATTGGCATCAATAAATGGATTTCCCTATTTTTGATGCCAATCGGTAGAACTGATTTTTTTTCTTGTTCGCCCTATCCTTGAATACTGCTCTTGCATCTGGTCTCCACAGTAAAACAATAGCCAGGATCGTAATGAATCTGTTCAGCAGCAATTTCTGCTTTTTGCCTTACGAGGTTTAAATTGGTACCCTAATCTTCGGTTGCCATCCTACTCCAGCAGACTGCTTCTTCTCAACCTTCCGTCGTTAACCAACCGTAGGACAATTCTATGTGTTCCTAGAAGGTGTTCCTAGGTCCCTTTACATAAGTTGATTATTGGCGACATAGATTCTCCTTTTTTGCTCGGGCATCTTCAATTCTCTGTTCCGCCTAGACCAACCAGAAATCATCGCCCCTTATTCCTATCTACGTGCACAACAGACTACGCTGTGCACAATCCTTTTCGCGTGCTACGTAAAAATTATAGTAGTTTGCATCACGTTTTCTCTACCGAACTTTCTCTACCCCTAATAAAATCGTTGCTTTCAGGATACCTTCGGGAAATCGCTGACCATTCCCAGCTGTGAGAAACGGCAGAGCTTGCCGGACATGCTAAAAAATTTTCCCCCAACAAATTTATCTAACTTACATTGCTTTAATTTATTCACAATCTTCTTAATTTCTTTTTTCCTATTTATTGTATTTTCTTTATTAATATAGCAAATTAACGTTATTTTTTATTTTAATTAATAACACTTTTTTCCTACTTACAGCCTTCTGCTTGGATGTAGGCTCTAACAGCGTTACTGACAATATTAGCTGTGAAAAGGGGCACAGCTGGCCGGACTGGCATCGATCGGTGATGCTATTTAGAAAATTGTATTCTTTAACTAGGCTTTTAGCATATAATTATATTATCTATTGTATAACCTATTGAATAATGAGGAAGACACTCGTTTTGTCGACCATTAATAAATAAACAAAAAAATAAATAAAAACGATGTTTAATTTATTTGAAGGCCAATTGATGATAAGGATCCGTACGCATTCAAAAAGGTATAACATTTTAAAATCAGACATTATTAACCCGAGATATTAAAAAAAATCATCGCAAAAGTTTCGATATTCGCACCGACCTCGATCTTGAAAAAATCGTGATGATTTGAATGGTCTCCGCGCGGAGTTATGTCGTTTTGGAACGTCATATCTTCTTTCGATTTTCGCACCGACCTCGATTTTGAAAAAAAACGTGATGTTACCCATTGCCATTTTGTCGAATTGGGTCAAAATTTTGGATTTCATTTTTTTGATGCCAATCGATAGAACTGATCCTTACGAGTCAAAAATTGTATAAAATTCCAAAATCGGACACTATTTTTCGCGGAGTTATGTCGTTTTGGAACGTCATATCTCCGCGCGGAGTTATGTCGTTTTGGAACGTCATATCTCCGCGCGGAGTTATGTCGTTTTGGAACGTCATATCTCCGCGCGGAGTTATGTCGTTTTGGAACGTCATATCTCCGCGCGGAGTTATGTCGTTTTGGAACGTCATATCTCCGCGCGGAGTTATGTCGTTTTGGAACATCATATCTCCGCGTGGAGCCATGTCGTTTTGGAACGTCATATCTCCGCGCGGAGTTATGTCGTTTTGGAACGTCATATCTCCGCGGGAAGTTATGTCGTTTTGGAACGTCATATCTCCGCGGGGAGTTATGTCGTTTTGGAACGTCATATCTCCGCGGGGAGTTATGTCGTTTTGGAACGTCATATCTCCGCGGGGAGTTATGTCGTTTTGGAACGTCATATCTCCGCGGGGAGTTATGTCGTTTTAGGACGTCATATCTCCGCGGGGAGTTATGTCGTTTTGGACCGTCATATCTCCGCGGGGAGTTATGTCGTTTTGGAACGTCATATCTCCGCGTGGAGTTATGTCGTTTTGGAACGTCATATCTTCGCGCGGAGAACTTTCTCTACCCCTAATAAAATCGTTGCTTTCAGGATACCTTCGGGAAATTTTTTTAATATCTCGGGTAAATAATGTCTGATTTTAAAATGTTATGCCTTTTTGAATGCGTACGGATCCCTACCATCAATTGGCCTTCAAACAAATTAAACATCGTTTTTATTTATTTTATTTATTTATTAATGGTCGACAAAACGAGTGTCTTCCTCATTATTCAATAGGTTATACAATAGATAATATAATTATATGCTAAAAGCCTAGTTAAAGAATACAATTTTCTAAATAGCATCACCGATCGATGCCAGTCCGGCCAGCTGTGCCCCTTTTCACGGCTAATTTTGTCAGTAACGCTATTAGATCCTACATCTAAGCAGAAGGCTGTAAGTAGGAAAAAAGTGTTATTAAGTAAAATTAAAAATAATCTTAATTTGCTATATTAATAAAGAAAACACAATAAATAGAAAAAAAGAAAGTAAGAAGATTGTTAATAAATTAAAGCAATGTAAGTTAGATAAAGATGATGGGGGAAAATTTTTTTAGCATGTCCGGCAAGCTATGCACTTACTCACAGCTGGGAATGGTCAGCGATTTCCCGAAGGTATCCTGAAAGCAACGATTTTATTAGGGGTAGAGAAAGTTCTCCGCGCGGAGATATGACGTTCCAAAACGACATAACTCCCCGCGGAGATATGACGTTCCAAAACGACATAACTCCGCGCGGAGATATGACGTTCCAAAACGACATAACTCCGCGAAAAATAGTGTCCGATTTTGGAATTTTATACAATTTTTCACTCGTAAGGATCAGTTCTATCGATTGGCATCAAAAAAATGAAATCCAAAGTTTTGACCCAAATTGACAAAATGGCAAGGGGTTACATCACGTTTTCTTTTCAAAATCGAGGTCGGTGCGAAATGCGAAAGAAGATATGACGTTCCAGAACGACATAACTCCGCGAGGAGACCATCCAAATA